CCTGTAACTCGAAGTTCAGCATCTGGAGTTGTTCGGTCATCGACATCATCTCTTGATGAGTGGTGCTTTCCAGGAAATTAAATTGTTGATAGGCATATGCTGTCGTCTCGGTTAATCTTGCCTGAAGTACGGATTCCTCTTCAGTGGCCTTTCCCAGTGATGTCTTGTATTCAGTTAGTTCACTCTGATAGGCAGTGAAGATGTCGCTACCACTTGACGGGGCGTTCACTTGCTGATAAGATCCTGTCCCTGATGGAGTAGCGTCCTGAATCGGTGAAGGCGGATTCGACGACGTAGTCTTTGCCTTAGTCCTTGGAGTCATCGGTGGCGACAATTGTCGTGCAGATGATCTTCTCTTTCCAGGTGTGCTGTCCCTATCTTCAATTGCTTGCATTGTCGAAATTTGTCTCCCTCTAGGAGCAACCAGAGTCGCCTGGGTTGGCTCGTTCTCAGTTCTGAGGCATCGCTTCCACCAGTGTCGATACTCTGTGAAGAATTTGACTGCGTGCCGGCAGCTGGTGCAACGGCATGTCCAGAGAAAGAAAATGCATTATCGCTGCTATCCTGTTCAGTCATCTGTAAGGCCCGCGGCTACCCGCTCGTAGGCTCCGTAGGAGTCCTACGGCTGATAACCTGCGAATCGGGGATTGCCTGTCCGATTATGTCCTGGTAGTTAGTGTTGAAGTGATTGCTCCAATGATGACGTTACGCGGGCAGCAGCTTCCGCATAGCTGTTCTTTACTCTGTCGCTGCAGTGGGTCTTGAGCCAAAGAGGCCAGTTTGGAAATGCCCCTTTGGTACTGGATTCTAGAGTGTCGAATTATGTGATAATATACAAGGGTCCGTAGCCTACACTCTATTCGCATATATTTATATATGTATACATGTATACATGTATACATGTATACATGCAAACATGTAAACATGTATATATGTATATATGTATACATGTATATGTGTATATATGTATATATGTATATATGAATATATGAATATATGAATATATGAATTATGTATATATGTATATATGTACATATGCATATATGTAAATATGTATGTATGTATATATGTATATATGCATATATGCATATATGATTTTTGTATATATGTAAATATGTATATATGTATATATGTAGATATGTTTATATGTACATATATATATATATGTACATATATAAATATATATATATATGTACATACGTGCGTATGTATATTTACATTTATATATATATGTATATATTTAATTATATTTACATACGCATACACATACACATGCACATACACATACACATATACATATACATATATATATATATTCTGTCTAGCTATTCATCGATTTTTTTAAATATATTTTTTTTACATATGTACATATGCTTTCCCAATATTTTCCCAGCCTAAAGTCTAGAGAAGAAAATAAGCTGTCGCCCTGCCCATTCAAGGCTTCCCCAGATCTAGAAAAGGAACTTCCATGTCAAACGTTCCAAGGCTTTTCTTACGAGAATGTGTCATGTGTGGTCAAGACCTCGCATATCTAGCTACAGCAGCGCCAAGGATCTGGCAACCCGAGAGGAGAAACGAGACCTCAGTTCTGGCGTTGGATCGATGGCCAGCTACATACCCAAAACTGGCATGGCACTCGAAATTGCAATCGCAATGGCATGCTTCCACCACATTGTCATCTGAGTACCCGAGTACCCCAAAAGTAAAGTATTGCCCTTCCGTTCGAGTTGCAGGACAGATGCGATGGCCGGGAGCTTCAAACAGGGAACCATGGGAACTTTGACCAACTCAACTCTGACAAAAGAGTTTAAAGATGGTTAAAGTCCTACTCAGTAGTCATCCCCAAGAAATCCCTGGAGTTACCGACTCGATACTGGGCCCAAGAGTTGTCCAAGGTGCGAGGAAGATGGAGCGGAATTCATGGCAGCCATCATGATGAAATGTATCCTGCAACTCCGACCCAACTTGAAAGAGGGGGCAACTTGCCGAAAGTGGCCGCAACGTCACCATCCGCAGGTTCTTTAATATTATGGCCAGTTTCGTCGTTGGTTTCCCCGCTTACCCCAGGATACCCCAGGCCTGAATATCAGATTTTGATTGATAGCTTCCTGTTTTTATCCAGGTAAATTTGTCTTTGGACACTGCCACAAAGGCGAAAGATCATCCATTTCTATATCAGGTTGAAGTCCTTGCAGATGGGACCATGGCAATCTGACTATTTGATTATATGTATGTATGTATGTATGTATGTATGTATGTATGTATGTATGTATGTATGTATGTATGTATGTATGTATGTATGTATGTATGTATGTATGTGTATATATATATATGTATGTAAATATATATATATGTATGCATGCATGCATGTATGTATGTATGTGTATGTGTATATATATACACGTATATATACGTGTATATATATATACATATGTATCTATATGTATATATATATATACATACATACATAGATTTATATACGTATATATATATATACATATAATTATGTGTATATGTATATATATATATATATATGTATATATATATGTATGTATATATATATTTATATATATTTGTATATATATTTAGATGTATAGACACGCGCAATGCCTGGGCTTTGCCCAGGTGTTGCAGCGCAGAGGGTCCCCATTCCCAATCAAATGTTGTTGCAACTCTGCATTCCATTGGGAAGATCAACAAAGGTATTAGGGAATATTAAAACCCCACCCCCGTTAAACTCTACATTCAATTGGGAAGATCAACAAAGGTATTAGGGAATATTAAAATCCCACCCCTGTTTAACTTTACATTCAATTGGGAAGATCAACAAAGGTATTAGGGGATATTAATGTCCCACCCCCGTTAAACTTTATATTCATTGAAGATCTTCGCTAAGGGTCTAATTCTCCCACAACTATTCAACTTCTGAATTCATTCAAGATCCTCAACAAGGGTCTAATTCTCCCACCCCCATTAAACTTCTACATTCATTGAAGATCTTCAATAAGGGTTTAATTCTCCCACCCCCGTTAAAATTCTAAATTGATTCGTTGAAGATCTTCAATAAGGTCTAATTCTCCCACCCCCGTTAAACTTCTACATTTGTTGAAGATCTTCGATAAGGGTTTAATTCCCCCACCACTGTTAAACTTCTACATGCATTGAAGATCTTCAATAAGGGCTTCATGATGACGACGATGATGATGATGATGATGATGATGCTGATGATGATGCGTTGCCAGTCGTGGGTGCGGTTCCGGGCAAAGCCCAGGCATTTGCCGTATATATATATATATATATGGTCTCGTGTTCCGTGTTCCCCCCCACTGGCATGGGTCCATTTCTGACTACCAGCCTCGCATTTACTAGGTACATGCTACCTTTTAGATGACCTACCGAGCACACATACTCCCTCAAAGTACCTACGTGCTACCAAAAGTCATAAGACATGTGCTATGTATCTACTTCCTATCTACTACCTGTGTACTCTCACAACACTACATGTGTTTAACATATACTTTACCTACCATACATTCCAATGATACCATACATACCATACATACGATACGAATTTTGACGATACATACCATACATATCATACATATCATACATACCACACATATCATACATATGAAACATAATTACCACACCTACCATACATACAATACCAAACATACATGCCATACATACCATACCTACCTTACATAGCAAACATTCCATACCCATCATAGTAACCATACATACCGTACAGAACATACATACTGTCATATCAAACATACCATACCCAGGGGGAGGGGGACAGTACCACACCCCCACCACACCACAGGGGCGGGGAGGGGGACAGTACTATCGCTGACCCATGACCATGGCCGGGGCGGGGGGGAGGGGGGTTGGAACGCTGGACCATATCCATATATATATACTTACTCACATATATATATATATATATATCGAATAGTTGTGCAACCATTCTTGGCTTAATCGTGCCCCCCCTTTCCAGTTGATCGCTGGTTCACCGTGGTATGCCCCCAACACACACCTGCGCGAGAACGGTAGCGGTCAATCTGGGCTTCTGCTTGGCTTCAAAAAAGGCGTCGCAAGGGACAAGAAGCAACTTGAAGTGGGGAATGTGGAATAACCATCTGAAATAATCCAATTATATGTGGGATTCACAATACATGAATATATATATATGATATACAGTACCCCGGGTATTAGCCTGGGGTATTGACAATCTTTCAGCACTAGCTGGGTGATGTTGGGTGCACCAAGACAGAATGTCGCCAAGGTTGCAACCCCCAATCTGCAGCCTGAAGCTACTTCAAGGACCCAATGAGGGGCAAAGGCTGAAGTTGCTAAGTCTTGCAAAGGACTGTTTCTTGATGTGTGTCTTTGCTGCATTTGTATTTGAGTGCCAGCACAATGGCATTGCATCTGACACTGAAATGGAAGTGCTCGCTGGTTGTACGTTCAACCCGGCTCGCAACTTTTCCTCCCTGCTTGCGACGATGCAGCAGTCTCATGGATTTGCTCGATCAAAAGAGTCTCAGCCAATGTCTTGAACACGGCCCCGACACATTCAAGCATGGTTTAAAAGCTGAGGCCGGTCGGCCTGGGCTTGTTTTGGTATGCAGCAGCAACTGTAATGCCACGAATTTGGGCATCTCTAAGGAGATTGCCCAGGCAGTCACTAGGAAGCTCTGCAACCTGCAGGGGAAGCCGCTTTTGAAGATGAATTCTTGCAATGGACTGGTATCCCAAACCTGGGAGTATGGTAAAACAGGAAACGCGCCATCTATTTTTGAATGACGAGAATATGGAGTTCCACACCGATCATGTTGGGGAACCATCAGAGCAAACCTTGAGATGGAACCTGGAGAACCAAATGTGAAATTAGTGTTTCTTAGTCCTTCTTGCCATGTCTGGACGTCGAAATGTTAGCGGTTTAACCTTGACCCCATGCTACAACCATCATCAACAGGCTGTGGAGCACCTGGCCATCAGTTTGGAAGAAGTTGTCGCGGAAGCAACTTCACCTGGTGCCGTTTTAAAGTCATTGTGCATCACCAAACATAAGCTCCGTGTTCATAGGGATTCCTGTAATGGATTGCCATAATCCCCAAGATAGTAGATTATATTACAGTAGTTGGTATAATTCCCTATAATCATTATAACCCCCTATAACCAACAACATATTCTTGTTCAAGACCACAGTTGGTATAATCCCCTAAAAATCATGAACCAACTGGGGTCTTGCACACTGCTCAATTCACGTCAATCAAGGTCCTATTCGGATTGAGAAGGAAGCGCTAAGACCCTTTGACTGCCTGCAGTTCCGTCATTTTACAGCAAAGCAATCCTCAAAGGGATGCGTTAGCTTCAAACCCTTCAAGTGCTGCATTTGGCCCATCAGTTCACAAGACTTTTTGGACTCCCACGACCCGAACAAATCAGCTCAGCCATCATCCCAAGCAGAGTCCAGCATTGAGATCCCAAGCCAGTGCATTTCCCACAGCCCATGCTGCACGGGTCACAGGACATCTGGCAGGCACGTGGCAATCCGAAAGAAATATACTTGGTGGGGGCACTTTTTTTTAAAGCAGATTATCATAGATTATCATAGATTATCATAGATTATCATGGATTATCATAGATTATCATGGATTATCACAATGTGGGTGTACTCCCCATTAAACCAAGGATAACCTGCTGGTTTCTTGATCCCTTTCCGCCTGGACTCCCGGATCGACTCCTGGCTTTTCGCCGGTGCAGCTTTTCGCGGCCTCGCTGAAGGGATGGGATATCTCTGGCTTGGAAAAAAAGAAAAAGATCTATAGAATCAGCTAGATTTTGTGCTATAATAATTGTATATAATAGTACAACCCCCGGCAACAGCCAAAAACCATGGTCAACTGGTCACTTCAACTCAGCAGCATCCAGCCTTGTATACTGCACCTCAGCAAAGGGACCTGCCTTGGCGCCGTCAAGAGAAGGAGAATTCTGAAGGTACTCGGCGAATTTCAGTTGTAGAGTATTCCACCATTGTGGAAAGCAATGCAAGGTGGAATGCCTGGCTTCAAGAATCCAAAAGCTTCAGCTCTTGAAAGAATCTCGCGACCAAACAGACCCTCCCCTCGCACAGTAAGTGCCGGGCAAACTGATCATAGTCCTTGGAACCGCAGCCCATGCTACTAAAGACACCCTTGCCAGCACCTCTGCCCACCTTTACATCTCAGCCCACGCCATCAAACAACCAATTCTTAATGTCCCAAACAGGTGATCTTGAGATGACCAATGAAATGGGAGGCATCTGGCAGTCCGGCTGTACCACAAACCATCAAAACCACCTCAACCATGGCCACCTCACCTTGACTTGAGACATTTCGGAGATATCTAATATGTAAATGTAGTAAATATGCCAGATATGGCTGTGAAGCCTACATTTTTCATAGGCACTACCCATTGCTACCAGGATGCCGCAGCTTGGTAAGGAGGATCTTCAAGTCGGCCCACCACTGGATACTTGGCGATGTAAGTCTCCCAATATGTCCTGAGAGGCACAGTCTGGGTCGGTCCGGCAGCGCGATGAGATCTGAAAGGGTGTACATTTTGGCGCCAGGCACTTCTGAAATGCCAATGCCACACAACTAGTTCCAGTGATTAAAGTGAACAACTAATAACATCTAAAGCGCAGCAATCCCTGAAATACCCCAAGGAATAGACGGGACATCTCACATGTCCCAATTTTCCCCCTCCAGTTCTATCCTTTCGCGAAGTGGAAGGCTTCATCCACTCAGCTTCGGGTTTCCCCACCGATTCAAATGCCTCAATTGCTTCTCTGTGAGGTCCTCTAAGCCTCCCAGCTTGTGTTGTGGAGAAGTGCGGTTGATAACTAGGTTGATGTGGGTTTATGATGACTAATGATAACCAATAACATCACGGGTAAAACCCCAATCACAAAACGACCGGTCAACTGGTCGACAATCATTCCTTCATCTCGGGGAGTTCATTTCTTCTAGGTCATGCTGGATGTTGATTTCAAAACTGCAGCAAGTCTGGTAATCATAAAAATCGCTGATCTACAGTTGGCAAAATGCCATCATTCGAACCTCAAAATACAGTCACAAACAGAGCTTCCATCACCTGAAAGGCAGCAAACATCTGCAGCTTCATTGTGATCTTTGTTGGTCATTCACAACAACTTTCCATAGCTCCCTGCTTTTTCGACCGGCGCGCATTTGCCAGTCCACCTCCCACAGGTTTCACCTGAAGACAACAAACTTCAATGCCAGGGCAGTGTGGGCATCACTTCAACTCCACAGAGTCCTCCAAAGCCACCAGTATGCTGTCACAGCGCAAAGATGAGAGGTTGCTGAGCTGTTTGGCTGCGGCGCTCGCAATCTTCACCCTTGGAAACCGGGCCATTTCCATGCTCTCGAGGCTACCTGAAAAACAAGTTTCATGATCAGCTGGCAGATTTCTATATCCATTTTGCCACAACCTGGCCACCTCAGAATTGGTTGCCTTTTATTCCACCCAAGCTGGTCTAATGTTGGTAAAGCAATAGTAAACCAGACCATCGCAAAATTCACCATAACTGGGTGGTATAAACCATCAAAATACAGGTGGTTTACTATTGCTTGACTAACATTGCTACATGATTCTGGGAGTCTTACATTTTGAGAAACATCGAAACTGAAACCCTGTTCTGTTTGGTCAACAGGCCTGGAAGATCCACCAAAGACGCTGTCGCACTGGCGCCGTGCCCTAGACTTATCTGCTCCAAGCTGGTCAAGTGTGCCACTGCAGAAGACAGATTCCTGTTTTCACCTTGGTCTTTCAGAGCTAAACGTTGCAGATTCTTTGGCAGTCTTGGCAAGCTTCTCCGAAATAAATCTCCCATTGTCAAGCTTTGAAGGCCCACGGGAAGGTTTATACCCTCCATTGGTTGGTTGAACGCAATTCCGAACGTCAAGCTTTGAAGGCTGCTGGGCAGTTCCACTCCTTCCAAACTCTGATTGAAAGCACCTCCAAACGTCAGACTCTCCAAGCTCTGCGGAAGCCGAATCCCTTTCATGCTTTGATTGAACCTCAACTATGCCACACTCCAAGGTTTCAATGACTGGATGTATCTATGGAACATCATTAATTCGGAGGAGTCAATTCCCAGGGTATTTTTCTTTGGCTTTGCAAATAGAGTACCCACCGTTCAGCCACTTCAAATGTTATGAGAAATCGAAACTTTCCCTTTAAAAAAAGAAAAACTGCCAATCCCAAATCAGTGGGCGCGCTTCCGAAGCTCAAGCTTTTCAGCTTGGGACAACAGGCGAGGTCTAAATCTCGGTTGAAATTGTCACTAAAGCTCAAGTTTTCCAACTGGGGCAGTTCCAGCGAATTGAAGCTTTTGTTAAAGGTCTTAATCAGCTTCAAGGTGCGCAAGCTCTGAAGGTTCACACCTCAACAACAGGGGACACTTCAAAATGGGTTTTAAAAAAAACAAAAACACAAGCTGAACTCTGGCGAAAGCCAGGCAAATACTTTTGTGACACTGGTCGCCTGAAGTGCAATCGATGAAACTTCGACCAAAGGTTAAGCTCTGCAAAGTGCTGGGAAGCTTTGCCATCCTGAACAGAGGTTTCGCCCAGTGACAGGGAAACCCTGAGCCGCCTGTGCCTTTCTGGTCTAAAATCAGGGCTGATTGACTCACTTTGTCTCATTTTCAATTCTGTGATATCTTGTGACTATCCTGGAGTGTCCATTCCGTAAATCTAACATGGAAGCCAACAACAAGATGGTCTTGACTAGAAAAAGCACCCCCCAAATCTCCCAGAATTGATTGAAGGGATTTTTCACGAAACCCCAACGTTGATCGTAAAAGCCATGGTTTGCTCTAGAAAGTCCCTCCGTGAAAATCCGTTTGTGGGGTTTTCCCAGTTGACTTGTCTGATTTCTACTGCAGGTTTGGCTGCTGAGCATCCTCAAGCTTTGGTTGAAGTAGTTGCCAAATATCAATTCTTCAAGTTGCGGAAGACACACCTGATCCAATGGTTGGTTGAAGTCCAGGCCCAACTCCAAGCTCTGTAGATGGCTTGGAAGCGTCACCATATCCAGTGGTTGGTTGAAATAATATCCAAAGGTCAGGTTTTGGAGACCACTTGGAAAGTCGACGCCTTCCAAGCTCTGGTTGAAGAAAGCTCCAAAGGACAAGGTTTGCAGCGTACTCGGAAGCGCAACTCCTTTGAGACTCTTATTGAAAGCGTATCCTTCGCTGTGCGTCAGGGTGCTGGGACCAGACCCATTGCTGCGGATCACAACCACAACACCAACAAAAACCCTTGCAAATTGATGAAAACTGAGCCTGTGCAACGATCTACTACTCTCAGCCAGGAGTCCAAAGGTTAAATTTTGCAGATTTGGAAGTCTCACTTCTCTCAGGTCCCCATTGAAGAAATCTGCCAATCTCAACCGCAAGAGACTTCGCGGAAGAACGTCAGCAAGGGACACCGCCGTGTCAAAACAGTGCCGACTCAACAGAAGTTCCTTAAGATGAGACGTTGGATTCCGTTGGAAGAGACTGATGTTTTGCTGCAGTGTTGCTGATCTCTGAGGAGACTATGGAAGGGAACTAGTTCCACAACAACCGAGGCCAGACAAAGCGGAAACCTTGGGGGATTGATTCGAGGCCATGAAGCTCTGTGCCAAAACCGAGACCCCAACAAAACTTGGGGATCCCAACATTTGGGTTCTAAAATGTATAGGTCCGCCTGGCTTACATCAGAGTGTGTAATAATGCGCGTGTGTGTGTATATATACATATATATATAACACGCTTGTAATGTATGCATGCATCTCTATGCATCTATGCGTCTAGGCATCGATGCATCTATGCCTCGATGCATCTATGCATCTGCCAGCCTGTCTGCCTGTCTGCCTGTCTGTCTGTTTGTCTGTCTGTCTATGTATGTGTGTGTAGTTCCCACCGGCAAAGCCCGAGCTTCCTGTAGATCCGGAAGTAGGACACCTGAAGCAGCTTGGATTGCTCATGTCCACGGGTTCGTCCAAACCCAAACATGGAGTCAGAAAATGGATCATTCAGATGATCACTCCTTTTTGCTGAGAGGCATTTCTTCGGTAAGCCCTAAGTCGCAACCCCAATCACTGGGGTTGCAACCATTCCAAAACACTGCTCAACTCATCTAGGCCCTCTCATTCTGCCCCACCCAGCCTGCAAGAGGTTGTTTAAACCATTCCTTGAAGGTCAGCGACTGCAAAGTCTTTGGGAGCTTGTGGACGTCCATCGGCTGATTGAAATGTTTTCCGAAGGACACATGTTGGAGGCTACCGGGAAAATCTACACCCTGCAAGCTCTGATTGAACGAGCGTCCGAAGATCAATTTCCTGAGTGCAGAGCGTGTGCATAGCCATCAATGTCATTGTGGACTTTGCACGGCCCCGTGACATGCGAGTTGTCTGGTCCCTTTCACTCATTCAACTTCTATAGACCAAAATTCTCTTGACAAATGCTATCCGCTCTCCAAACTGTTAGAAGTGGTAGGATTGGAGCCACGTCTATACAAAGGGGCAATCTGTGTACAAAAATCATCTCCGCACCTGCAGACATTTGTGTGCGGTGCGTGGAAAAAAAACTACCATGCTATCCGAAACCAGAGACTCAGCAGAATGACTTGAAACACTCATCTTCCGAAAATGAGTTGGGGATTGGGCGGATGGCAGGGGAGCCCGAAATCCAGGAACGCATGTCTAAGGGATTCTGCTGCACAGTCTCTTCAAGGCGGGCAGTTTGACTCCCCGAAGGCTTTGGTCAAATTTGTCGCCAAACGTCAAGCTTTGCCTCGATGTAGAGTCGATCTATGCAACACCCTGAAGTGAACAACAAGAGCAAGACGAAAGCAACGTCTATATTTTGTATATCTATACAGGCACATGTGTATTATTATCATGTATGCAAATATAATATAAACACACACATATATATATAATTTATATATATATATACGCAAATGTATGTATACATGTATCTAAATGTGTGCACATATCTATGTCTAGAGACTATGTCTAGAGTCCAAATCACGTAAAAGTGGATACGTGTATGTGTATATATATATAGGGCGAAAGCTGGGGGTTCCCCGGAAGCCAATTGCAATTTAATTGTATGGATATGGAAAATGTTGATTTTATACTGTGTTTTACAGTGTTTTTTGCCTTCCCTTGAAAGTGTTCCATCAGTGAAAGTATCAATGTCGGCGCGGATAAACTCGGAGTTTGTCCGCGCAGAAAAATGATAAATTTACATCTTCCATGGATAGCCAAAAATGCGTTCAACATTTTTCCCATTGGAATTGCGGTTTCATACATTTTTTCAGTTTTTGTTGATAAGTACAAAATGTCATAATCCACTGGAGAACCATGGACGAAATGAACATCACATATTTTTCATCTTCGCTTTTCCAAACCATTTTTTTGGCATGGCGATGGAAAATGTTGTTTTTACACTGTGGTTTACAGTGCTTTATGTTTTTCTCTGAAATGGTTTGATCAATCGAACTTCCATTTTCATCGCGGAAGAACTTGACGGAAGAACTTGACGTTTGTCCGTGCTGAAACAGGAAAATTTTACATCTCCCATGGATGACTAAAGATGTGTGGAACATGCTAACCATTTGAAGTGCGGTTTCTTTTATTTTGGTCGTTCTGTTCAGAAGTAGAACATGTGATAATGCACTGGAGAACCATGGACGAAATGAAGAACGCACCTTTTTCATCTTCATGTCCACAGATGCTGTTTGAAGCAGTTGGCAGGAGCGACTGCACCGTGAGAAAAACAACAACGGAACTTGCAACGTAGCAACATCTTCCAACCAAGCAACATCTTCCAGGATTCAACATCATCCAACGCACTTCACATGACGT